CCTGTCCCTGACCCCCCACAGGGCACCCTTGACAGTTTACTCATGCAAGTGCACATCCGAGAGCTATGTGTCTGGCTGTACTTGGATGTACTCAGAGGTACTTGGATATATTCTAGTCTTGCTGGTAGAAAGAGTTTAGATTCAAACCAGGAATCCCACTACATTCCCTTTAAGACCCTCAGACTTAGCACCAACCTTTATCAAATCTTCTCTGACTGTCTCAGGCTAAATAAACTTATAAGCCTCTGTAGCAATCATGGTTGTACAACTAATTTGATAATTAATCATGTTTTCGCTTGTGACAACTCTTTTGTTCTTTCCTCAAATTGGTGTTAAAATTTTTATTGTACTAGAAAAAATATATTTTAAAGGAATATCTTTCTGATTCTGAGAATATTAAGCAAAGATATTCCCCTTCTCTATCAGTCCTTAAGAACACAGGCATAGCTTGAATAATTAAAAATCATCAACATTTCATGTTTATGTCTTGCTCCATCATTGATATAAGGACCATGGTTTTGACTGCTTTCCATTTGTAACCATGCCTGGTATTCAGTGGGCACTCATATACCAGGTGGTTCTTTCATTTTAGAGAGGTTTAAGGTTATTATTTGTACCTTAAGATAGCAGAGGATAAAAGACAAGACAAAGTAAAAGAGGACAGAAGAAGTTATACAAAACAAAAAATTCCAGAAAGAATAACCATGGAAGAAAGCTTACTTTAGCATTTTGGTGATAGGATAAAAGATTCCTGAGGTAATCTCCCTTCTTGTAGGTATTGCTTTAAATGTACATATTGAGTATCTCATTCACCCATCCCACAAATACATATTAAGCACCTACTGTGTGTCAAACAGACAACACCCCTGCCCTCCAGAAACTTCCAGTCTAATAGAGAGAGGCAGAGACTAAACCAGATCCTTTCAGACTGTAGTAAGTACAATGAAGGAAATAAATAGAATGGGGAGTAAGGATGCAGCTCCTTTAGATTAAATGGTCAAGGAAGCTTTTCTGAGGAGGTGATACTTAGGCTGAAACAGATGGTTGACAAGGCAACAACTACAGGCAGAGTCAGGAAAAGAATGTTCCCAGGGCTACTACATGCAGTCCCACAGGTTGTGCACTGCCCATGCACTCCGTTCACATGGACAACAGTGGCATCCCTGAGCGTTGTGCAGTGCAGCAGCTCAGAGTGTTTCAGGCACATGTAAGTCAGTTCACTTGTATAGTTAATTTCCTTTGCTCAAGTTGACTTGCACATCTACTGACATGCACCTAGTCCATCTGGACACAATGGCAATCAAATTAACCATGTGATGGTTCAGACAAGTCAAGAAAATGACCCTCAGCAAATTGCAGGCTGGACTCGATCGATCGGCTTATGACTCTATGTTCTCCACTTCTGGAGACATGGGAGATAAGCCTAGAACTTAACACAGTTTTAAGTGGGAAAAGCTTGAGGTCATTTTGGGAACCAACCCATTGTCTACTCCTATGGCCATAATGCCAGGAAAAGGAGATGAGTAATTGCTAGCCAAGCCTAAAGCTGGTTTTCAGGGTGAGAAATCCTCCCTCTTCAGGAATGATCAAATGTGAGGTTTGGAAAATAGCCTTTATAATTACAGACTATACTATTAAGTGCACGGCAAATTAATCATTTGACTCCATGGCATGGTGGTATCCCATAATGACAGGTTAATGGATTCCATGCTTAATTTAAAAAAAAAAAAAAGAGACCATTAGACTTCTAGTAAAGTCAATACTGTAGCTCTTTGCTGGCCACAGATCCCCTGTTAAACTGGCCTCAAAAGCAAATGTATAGAGAAACTTTGAGGTTCCAAACTGGTTTAATGGGTTTCACAGAAGGGGTTCAAAGGTAGCTTTCTTGTCAATTTACAATTAGGCAATGGAGGCTTAAATAGAGCTCATATGCTGACCTCAGGTTGCTCTGGAAATGAGACATCTGGAAACTGACCCCCTGTTCCCTGAATCTCTCAGCTGATCCTACTTCCTCTCTGAACTGTGCTCATCAGTGTTTGAATCTGTCCAAGTCAGTTCTGAAGAGGAAGCTCCAGTCTCTCCTCCCCCCACACGTCTGCGTGTAGAACGTGACAGGAGTTCAGGGGGCGGGGAGCCGGCAGCATCAGAGGGCAGGATGGGGCAGAAGCAGTGCTCCTGGGCAGGCGCTGAGAATAGAGTCATGCACAACCAGGCGAAGAAAAAATGCAGGCCAGCTTTGGCAGGGGGATTATTCAAGGGCTTCCAATTGTGGAAAGCAGGGTGGAGGTGTCCATCCACCAGCGCCAGGTGGAGCAGGGTTGTTCTGGAATATCTGATTCAAAATAGGTGGAAAGATGGGTCAGGATTCAAGACCTAAACATTGAGGGTTGAAGGACTGTAGGCTCCACGTAGCTACCTAGAGCATGCTTGCGATCTTTACTGTACATATGAATCGCCTGGAACCTGGCTAAAAATGCAGATTCTGATTCAGTAAGTCTGGGGCTCTGCATTTCTAACGAGTTCTCAGGTGATGCCAATGCTGCTGGTTTATGCATCACATGGAATACAGGGGCTACAGCACAGGGCAGGGTCCCTCCTCCTTTTCTCCTAACCATCATGGGCCCTAGAGGAACCGGGAAGCCTGGAGATTGGGCAATAGCACCACTCTTGCCCAACAAAACTGCTGACAGGACACAGCAGCCCAGAGGCTGGGAGCAGTCCAAGCCCTCTCATGCATTCCAGGGCAGGGGCTGAGCAACTGGCTGCTGGCTGAGACTCAGAGCAGAAAGAGCCTGATCAATGGACATAAGAAAATTATCAAATTAGAAACAAAGATGGGTTATATTTGGTGAATCAGAGGGAAAGGCTTAAAAATCTCTGTCCCTTTTTAACACCTCAAATCAAAGATCCTCATCACTCCTACCCACTGTGGTCAGTGCTCTGACTGAGGTCCCTCTGCAGAGTGGAAGTCGTCAAAGTACGTTGAACAAATGCTTACCCAGGCAGAGGGTGGGGTTTTTGAGCTGTTGCTCTCTCGTACTAACCTTCTAGGAAAATGAAAAGGGAAGATTTCCTCCAGGGCCATTTTCCTGGGCTCTAAATTGGGTGCTTAATGTATGAACTTGGCTATACGATAGCACCCTGTTGTTCAATTAAACACTAGTTTAGGTGTTGTTGTGAAGGTATTTTGTAGATGCTGTTGACATCTACAATCAGCTGATGTTAAGTAAAGGTCTTGACAGTCTGGGTGCCTCATCCAATCACTTGAAAGGCCTTAAGAGCAAAAGAGGTTTCTCTGAGGTAGAAATTCCACCTGTTAAGTGCAGCTTCAGCTCCTGCCAGAGAGTTTCCAGCCAGCTGCTCCGCAGTACAGACCACAGACTTGCCATTCCCCACAATCATGGAAGCTATTTGCTTTAAATAAATCTTGTTCCATATACATTTGATCCTCATTATTCACAGATTCTCTATTTGTGAATTTGTCTACTTGCTAAACTTTATTATAATGCCAAATTAACACTCACAGTGCTTCCACAGTTATTCCTGGACACGTGTAGAGTGGTGAAAAATTTGTCACCTGTTGCAGCTGTTTTTCCAGCTGGGGTCGAACAAGGTGACTCCAACTTCTTGTTCAGCTCTCAGATTGTAAACAAGTGTCCTTTACGTGGTCTATGTAGTGCCATGATTTTCATATTTTTGTGCTTTTTGTTGGCGATTTTGCTGTTTACAGTGGCTCCTAAGCATCTTGCTAAAGTGCCGTCTAGTGTTCTTAATGCCAGAAGGCTGTGATTTGCCTTGTGAGGAAATATGCTTCATTCAGACATCAGTTATAGTGCTGTTGGCTGTGAGTTCAATGTTAATGAATCAACAGTGTATATTAAGTAAGGTGTCTTTAAACAGAAATACAGATAAAACAAGGTTATATTTTGATCGGTTGAGGAGAATGTGACCAGAGGCTCACAGGAACCTAACCCTGTATTTCCCCTAGGAACAGTGGCTCAGTATTTCCTAATTCAGTGTTTTTGGGGACTTTATGGGACATAACTACCATGAATAACGAGAATTGACTCTGTGTGTGGGGGGGGGAGGGGAGGGCAGCATGCACGCGGGCATCCACACTACTGGTTCTGTTTCTCTGGAGGCACCCGAACTGATGCAGGTGCAGTACCACCCTCTCCTCCAGGGCTGGCTGTGCACTGCAGAGATGATGAGGGCCTTTTGTCCTTTCTGCATTCAGATCTCTGACAATATTCTACAGAAGGAGGAAACCAGTTCACTATAAACCATCTAGTGAATGTTAACAGTCCCCTTTTAAAAGCAGTTTTTCCCTTACTGGGTGATACTTAGGGACACAAAATATACACAAGCCCTATAATTTGGATGGTATTCCATCTCCCTGATAAAGAAAGAAGTAGGCTAGATTAGGTAATAGCTAGAATGCATTTCAGCATTTTTAATGTAATTTGGATGATAAGCCCCAAATTACTTTTCCAATATAAACCAATCAAGTCGATTCCAGTTTGAGTGACTTTACCAAAAATAAACTTCTTTATGAATGTATAAAAAGATAATTAGACTGTCTCCAAGGCATTGGGCCTATTCCCAACAATGGAGAGAAGCCAGCATGTCTCAGAGTGACAGGCAGGCACCAATTTAACAACCCACTGCCCTTCCTCTCCCCACCCCAGTGGTCAGCTGTAGTCTTCTCAGAGGCTGTGGTTATGATTCTCACTTGCCTGGTCCACAGCTGCAGGCTCCATTGCTAATTCTAAATTTGTCATCTTCCATGTTGCACTGTCTGACACAGGAGGAACTGGCAAAGAGGAGTCATGTCTTAGTCAAATCCTACCCTGCTCCTGGAATACCACCCAAGCTCACACCCTCCATGGCGTGAGTCAGCTGTGCCAGCTCTGTGGATATAGTGCACTTTCCCCCACGTTCCCATTGACACCTGAATGAGGCTTGAAAAGGCTTATAAATAATTCTCTTTTTCCTTCAAGAACACGTCACAGCTAAGACTAAGCACCATGTATCAGCTTCCACTGATCCTGAAAGAAAATACTGTTTGAAAAAAGCTTCTTTCATGCACAGCTTCAAGAAAATCAGAACACCATTCACTTCTCAAACCACCCATAAGGTAATTCAAGTGTCAAAAAGTGTTCAACGCAAACAGAAGAAGGGGAGAGGGAGCATGATACAGTCTGAGAATTTTTTTTTGTATTCAAAAGTGTTTCCCTTTTAATGTTCAGCAATTTTCATGACATGTGAATAGTATTCTAAGCTGTTAAATGGTAGAATGGGAACTGCCTTGTCCTGTGACTATTTTTTTTTCAATATAAATTTATTTATTTATTTTTGGCTGTGTTGGGTCTTCATTTCTGTGCTAGGGCTTTCTCTAGCTGCGGCGAGCGGGGGCCACTCTTCATCGCGGTGCGCGGGCCTCTCACTATGGCGGATCACAGGCTCCAGACGCGCAGGCTCAGTAGTTGTGGCTCACGGGCCCAGTTGCTCCGCGGCATGTGGGATCCTCCCAGACCAGGGCTCGAACCTGTGTCCTCTGCATTTAGCTGGCAGATTCTCAACCACTGCGCCACCAGGGAAGCCCCGTCCTGTGACTATTGAATTGATACACTAAGTAAGAATGATATACTAAATACAATTAAAATGAGTATCACCCTTCCACCAAATAAAAAATTGTAGAAATATATGTAGTAAACAAACTGATTGAGTCAAATTATTTCGACCAGAAAAAAAATGTCAAAAATGGCTAAACAGGACTAACTCTTATGAAGTTTGGCTTATAGGGCCCATCTCTCCCTATGGCTCTTTGTCCTACATTTTCCCACCCTTCTGGTCACCTCCCTTCCCCCACACCAGGTGTCAGGTCCTCCTTCCCCTGCTCTCAGCTGGTTGCTCCTTTCAAAAGGATTCAATTAAGTCAGGGGTTGGAAACAACAGCCGTAGGGCCGAATGGAGCCCATCTCTTGTTTTTGTAAATGAAATTTTATAGAAACCCGGCCATGCTTATTCCTTACCTCAATGGCTGCCTCTGCCTTACAATGACAAGAGTTGAGTAGCTCCAACAGAGACCTTATGGCCCACAAAGCTTAAAATATTTACTATTTGATCCTTTATAGAAAAAGTCTGCTAGCCCCTGAATCAAGTCCCTCGCACTAAGGAATTACAGTTGTAATATGTTACTTCTCCAGGAGAAGAGATCCATTACTTGGATTTTAATAGGAGGTAACTTCTTAATTTAAAGAAAGTAATAGCTAATAGCAGGATTTTAGTCATCAGCAGTGGGATACTCAGGAGATACTTTGGGGCAGGGGCATTTCTTAAGTTCAGTTACTATCTATTCCACCTGCCCATCAACCCAGTTGTGGGACCACCTACTGAGGATTTTGATAAAGGGTTACAATTGTTTGGAGAAAGACTTGAAAGCGAGGTTGGTCTGAACAGTTTGGGACTGCTGCAGCTGGCATTGTGGAGAGGAAAACACACAACCCAAGAGATTATAATTTGTCTCCGCCTGACTCAAATGTTTATTCTTATCACTTAAAGACTAACAAAAACATTCTGAGGTCCAGTTAAAGAGAGTCAGATTCCTGACTTTGGTTGTCCCCTAATCTTTTGCCTTTTTACTTTTCACAGATATCTAACTTCACAAAAATAAATCTTTTTTATGGCACACCGAAGATTTTCTCTCTGAAGTTCCCATGAGCAGTGTTATTTATCTATAAAGAAGTCTCCTCCAAGAAAGCAGCAACAGCGAGCTCATGGTGCAGCCTTTCTTCCAGAACAGAGGGGCTCGACTCTCACTGGCATTATTAGGCAGACTTCATGAGACTTTGAAGTGGCCGCTGTACCAAATGGAAACAGAGTATCTGGTTTCCCATCTCAAGGTGATGCACGGGATTGATGGTCACTCCTAACATTCATTTGTTCAGTATATTACATCCCAAAATGTTCTCCTAAACATTCTCTTGTTTAATCCTCAGGACAATCCTTTGACATGAAAATTGTCATCCCCTTTTTACAGGTAAGGAAACGAAGGATGTGAAGGGTTAAATGACTCACTTTAGATCAAACAGCTGTTGAAGGTGGATTCAGAAGAAAAAGTCAGGTCTTCAGAGTCCTCTCAGGGTAGGGGTTTATTCTCTGAGCTCATGCTGGAGGAAACCGGGGGCCTCGTCAAGAGCAGTGAGACTACTGCAGTCGTTTGTGGAAGTCTTGAAGGTCACTCTTCAAGATTTTGTCACTCTTCCGGTACAAGAGTGGTAAGTGGCAGCCTAAAGAGGTAGAGGCTTCATTCAGATGTGCCTATGAGCTGCCCAAGGTGAGCACCAGGATGTCATCCCACACGGCTCCTGGACCCTCCTGGGATGGGGCTCATATAGCACTAGCACTTCAGAGGGGCTTTGTGCAAACTAGAAAATGGCAGGCCAATTATACAAAGGTGTTCCTTCCCTCAGCTGACTCAGCCCTGGGCCAGGCCTCAGCTCAGCAAGCTGAGTGGGCTAGATCCAGCCCCTGCTCGAGTCCCTCACCCAGAAAAGGCATCATTGCCCAGGCACAGCTGGTACAACCATCCTGGGCCCACCCAGTTCAGAGAGCTCCCTTCACCAAGAGGGGATGTTTCTCAAAAGAAAGATAACCTTATTGAGAAGAACTGGATCCATACGGGACCATAAACACTGCACAGTTTACCAAGAAGGTGCCAGTTACAGTCTAAACTTAGTATGGTTTGGGTAGTGAGGACAGTCTTTCTGAGCTGGAGAACTAGAGCTGGTCCCAGTCCAGCTCATCTCCCTTACCTGGTCCTCCCTCTTAGCTAAGCCCCTCTCTGTATCCCACTCAAGCTCATTTCTCCCATTAATTTAAGTGCTGCCTCACTGAATGGAAACTTCCTTGAACTGGAGGGAACACACAGCTGGCAGAAGTGTGTAATTATTCTTTGTGAGTGGATGGTTGGCCACCCCCTTCAGCATGTCTCTGTCACACCAAGACAGGCAACCCTGCTGGGCTAGGACATCTTCTCCAAGACTACACATTTCCAAGACACCAGCTGCCATCAGAACATCCTGGGTCTCTCCCCGTTCCTCCTCTAAATGTTCTTGGGAGCCCATATCATCCTCTAGGCCACTGGGCAAAGTCCAGCTGAGCTCATTAATCATATACACTCACCTTTCCTTGCTCAGAGATCAAAGGCAGCAAGAGCTCACAATCCTCTGTTGAACTGTGTTTTCATAGGATTTGAAGGAAGAATGGATCCAAGAGCAAAAAGGCAGCTCCACCTAACCCTGGGAAGGACCGATAAGCAACTCAGGGTGCAGCTACTAAGAAAGCAGGAGGAAAGTGAGCTGGAAGCTACTCTTCTTCATGTAGAAATGAATCCTCAGACCAAAAGTTTCAATTTACACTGAACACATTCAATTTTTTTAAATTAATTTTTATTGGAGTATAGTTGCTTTGCAAAGTTGTGCTAGTTTCTTGCTGTACAGCAAAGTAAATCAGTCATATATATACATATATCCACTCTTTTTTCAATTTCCTTCCCATTTAGGTCACCACAGAGCATTGAATAGAGTTCCCTGTGCTATACAGTAGGTTCTCATTAGTTATCTGTTTTATACATAGTTGTGTATATATGTCAGTCCCAATCTTCCAGTTCATCCCACCCCCACTTCCCTGCCTTGGTAACCACACGTTTGTTCTCTACATTTGTGACTGTATTTTTGTTTTGCAAATAAGTTCATCTCTACCGTTTTTCTAGATTCCACATATAAGCGATATTATACGATATTTGTTTTCCTCCTTCTGGCTTACTTCACTCTGCATGACAGTCTCTAGGTCCATCCACGTCTCTGCAAATCGCACAGTTCCATTCCTTTTTATGGCTGAGTAATATTCCATTGTGTATAAATATGTACCACACGAACACATTAAATTTAAAGGTGCCTTGCCTTGCACTTATACAGTGTGCCAAAAGGGGTGCTGAAATCATTTCCAGTCTTGTTCTGATAACTACTGCCACCGTAGTCCACATAAAAATGGTTGAGCAAGTGAGTATGTTTCAACTTGCCATCACCTTTTCCTTTTTCTCCCCCCCCACCAACTGCCCGCCCCCCACTTTCCCCCCTTGGTGTCCATACATTTGTTCTCTACACCTGTGTCTCTATTTCTGCCTTGCAAACTGGTTCATCTGTGCCATTTTTCTAGATTCCACATATATGCGTTAATATATGATATTTGTTTTTCTCTTTCTGAGTCACTTCACTCTGTATATTAGTCTCTAGGTCCATCCACATCTCTACAAATGACCCAATTTCGTTCCTTTTTACGGCAGAGTAATATTCCATTGTATATACGTACCACATCTTCTTTATCCATTCATCTGTCGATGGGCATTTAGGTTGCTTCCATGACCTGGCTATTATAAATAGTGCTGCAATGAACATTGGGGTAGATGTGTCTGTTTGAATTATGGTTTTCTCTGGGTATATGCCCAGTAGTGGGATTGCTGGGTATAAGGTAATTCTATTTTTAGTTTTTGAAGGAACCTCCATACTGTTCTCCATAGTGGCTGTATCAACTTACATTCCCACTAATAATGCAAGAGGGTTCCCTTTCCTCCACACCCTCTCCAGGATTTGTTGTTTGTAGATTTTCTGATGATGCCCATTCTAACTGGTGTGAGGTGATACCTCATTGTAGTTTTGATTTGCATTTCTCTAACAATTAGTGATGTTGAGCAGCTTTTCATGTGCCTCTTGGCCACTGTATGGCTTCGTTGGAGAGATGTCTATTTAGCTCTTCTGCCCATTTTTGGATTGGGTTGTTTGTTTTTTTAATATTGAGCTGCATGAGCTGTTTATATATTTTAGAGATTAATCCTTTGTCCATTGATTCGTTTGCAAATACTTTCTCCCATTCGGAGGGTTGTCTTTTCGTCTTGTTTATAGTTTCCTTTGCTGTGCAAAAGCTTTTAAGTTTCATTCGGTCCCATTTGTTTATTTTTGTTTTTATTTCCGTTACTCTAGGAGGTGAGTCAAAAAGTATATTACTGTGATTTATGTCAAAGAGTGTTCTTCCTATGTTTTCCTCTAAGAGTTTTATAGTGTCCAGTCTTACATTTAGGTCTCTAATCCATTTTGAGTTTATTTTTGTGTATGGTGTTAGGGAGTGTTCTAATTTCATTCTTTTACATGTAGCTGTCCAGTTTTCCTAGCACCACTTATTGAAGAGACTGTCCTTTCTCCATTGGCTCTCCTTGCCTCCTTTGTCATAGATTAGTTGACCATAAGTGCGTGGGTTTATCTCTGGGCTTACTATCTTGTTCCATTGATCTATATTTCTGGTTTTGTGCCAGTACCATATTGTCTTCATTACTGTAGCTTTGTAGTATAGTCTGAAGTCAGGGAGTCTGATTCCTCCAGCTCTGTTTTTTACCCTCAAGATTGCTTTGGCTATTCGGGGTCTTTTGTATTTCCTCACAAATTTTAAGATTTTTTTGTTCTAGTTCTGTAAAAAATGCCACTGGTAGTTTGATAGAGATTGCATTGAATCTGTAGATTGCATTGGATAGTATAGTCATTTTCACAATATTGATTCTTCCAATCCAAGAACATGGTATATCTTTCCATCTGTTGGTATCATCTTTAATTTCTTTCAACAGTGTCTTATAGTTTTCTGAATACAGGTCTTTTGTCTCCCTAGGTATTTTATTCTTTTTGTTACAATGGTAAATGGGAGTGTTTCCTTAATTTCTCTTTCTGGTCTTTTGTTGTTAGTGTATAGGAATGAAAGAGTTTTCTGTGCATTCATTTTGTGTCCTGCAACTTTACCAAATTCAATGATTAGCTCTAGTAGTTTTCTGGTGGCATCTTTAGGATTCTCTATGTCTAATATCATGTCATCTGCAAATAGTGACAGTTTTACTTCTTTTCCAATTTGTATTCCTTTTATTTCTTTTTCTTCTCTGATTGCTGTGGCTAGGACTTTCAAAGCTATGTTGAATAATAGTGACAAGAGTGGACATCCTTGTCTTGTTCCTGATCTTAGAGGAAATGCTTTCAGTTTTTCACCATTGAGAATGATGTTTGCTGTGGGTTTGTCGTATATGGCCTTTATTATGTTGAGGTAGGTTCCTCTATGTCTACTTTCTGGAGATTTTTTATCATAAATGGGTGTTGAATTTTGTCAAAAGCTTTTTCTGCATCTATTGAGATGATCATATGGTTTTTATTCTTCAGTTTGTTAATATGGTGTATCACTTTGATTGATTTGTGTATACTGAAGAATCCTTGCATCCCTGGGATAAATTCCACTTGATCATGGTGTATGATCCTTTTAATGTGTTGTTGGACTCTGTTTGCTAGTATTTTGTTGAGGATTTTTGCATCTATCTTCATCAGTGATATTAGTCTGTAATTTGCTTTTTTTGTAGTATCTTTCTCTGGTTTTGGTATCAGGGTGATGGTGGTCTCATAGAATGAGTTTGGGAGTGTTTCTTCCTCTGCAATTTTTTGGAAGAGTTTGAGAAGGATGGATGTTAGCTCTTCTCTAAATGTTTGATAGAATTCACCTGTGCAGCCATCTGGTCCTGGACTCCAGTGTTTTGGAAGATTTTTAATCACAGTTTCAATTTCATTACTTGTGATTGGTCTGTTCATATTTTCTGTGTCTTCCTGGTTCAGTCTTGGAAGGTTATACCTTTCTAAGAATGTGTCCATTTCTGCCAGGTTGTCCATTTTATTGGTATAGTGTTGCTTGTAGTAGTCTCTTAGGATGCTTTATATTTCTGTAGTGTCCGTTGTAACTTCTCCTTTTTCATTTCTAATTTTATCGATTTGAGTCCTCTCCCTCTCTTTCTTGATGAATCTGGCTAAAGGTTTATCAATGTTGTTGATCTTCTCAAAGAACCAGCTTTTAGTTTTATTGATCTTTACTATTGTTTTCTTTGTTTCTATTTCATTTATTTCTGCTCTGATCTTTATGATTTCTTTCCTTCTACTAACTATGGGTTCTGTTTGTTCCTCTTTCTCTGGTTCCTTTAGGTGTAAGGTTAGATTATTTATTTGAGATTTTTCTTCTTTCTTGAGGTAGGCTTGTATAGCTATAAACTTCCTTCTTAGAACTGCTTTTGCTGCATCCCATAGGTTTTGGATCATCGTGTTTTCATTGTCATTTGTTTCCAGGTATTTTTTGATTTCCTCTTTGATTTCTTCAGTGACCTCTTGGTTATTTAGTAATGTATTGTTTAGCCTCCATGTGTTTGTGTTTTATACGTTTTTTCCCCCTGTACTTTATTTCTAATCTCATAGTGTTTTGGTCGGAAAAGATGCTTGGTATGATTTCAATTTTCTTAAATTTACCGAGTCTTGATCTGTGACCTGGGATGTGATCTATCCTGGAGAATGTTCTGTGTGCACTTAAGAAGAAAGTGTAATCTTCTGTTTTTGGAATGGAATGTCCTGTAAATATCAGTTAAATCTATCTGGTCTATTGTGTCATTTAAAGCTGTGTTTCCTGATTAATTTTCTGCCTGGATGATGTGTCCATTGGTGTAAGTGAGGTGTTAAAGTCCCCGAGTATTATTGTGTTACTGTAGATTTCCTCTTTTATAGCTGTTAGCAGTTGCCTTATGTATTGAAGTGCTCCTGTGTTGGGTGTATATATATTTATAATTGTTATATCTTCTTGGATTGATCCCTTGATCATTATGTAGTGTCCTTCTTTGTCTCTTGCAACATTCTTTATTTTAAAGTCTATTTTATGTGATATGAGTATTGCTACTCCAGCTTTCTTTTGATTTCCATTTGCGTGGAGTATCTTTTTCCATCCCCTCACTTTCAGTCTCTATGTGTCCCTCGGTCTGAAGTGGGTCTCTTGTCTTGTTTTTGTATCTATTCAGAGAGCCTGTGACTTTTGGTTGGAGCATTTAATCCATTCACATTTAAGGTGATTATTGATATGTATGTTCCATGTTACCATTTTCTTAATTGTTTTGGGTTTGTTTTTCTAGGTCCTTTTCTTTTTTTTTTTTTAACATCTTTATTGGAGTATAATTGCTTTACAATGGTGTGTTAGTTTCTGCTTTATAACAAAGTGAATCAGTTATACATATACATATGTTCCCATATCTCTTCCCTCTTGCGTCTCCCTCCCTCCCGCCCTCCCTATCCCACCCCTCCAGGAGGTCACAAAGCACCGAGCTGATCTCCCTGTGCTATGCGGCTGCTTCCCACTAGCTATCTATTTTACGTTTGGTAGTGTATATATGTCCATGCCACTCTCTCACTTTGTCACAGCTTACCCTTCTCCCTCCCCATATCCTCAAGTCCATCCTCTAGTAGGTCTGGTCCTTTTCTTCTCTTGTGTTTCCCACTCAGAGAAGTTCCTTTAGCATTTATT